TGTATTTAAATAATTAAAAAATAATATTGTGATGGTGATGATGTCATTTACTCAAGCAGAATGTTTTTTATAATAAGATGTATGTCACACTTTAAAATGTTATTTTGCATGAAATAAACTACTGCATGTTAACATCCATCGTCCATCGGTTTATAGTAATTAATATAATTTAATTCAGTGAAATGGCTTTAGATGTAACAAAAAAGTTAAACGAAATGGCTTTACATACATGCATACCAGCCAACGTTATCACAATCACGTCATATCCACATGTGATGTGATTTCAGCAATATCACGTTAAACACTTGCCTGACTCGGCTTCAAACAAAGTTTTTTCATTACTAATTATAAAGAATATATTCATTATTTATCTTTATCATCTTAACATTTTTATCAATAAAACAATTGACGTTTTTCTATGCAATAAAAAATTAATTTGAGAACAAAAATAGATAAATTCCGTTTAATTCAATAAACAAACAGCTACTATGTTTTGTTTAACAAAAAATGATATATATATATATATATATATATATATATATATATTTGCGAACAATAGATGAAGAAAAAATTAATTATTTATGGTTTCTGTTGTTTTTTTATTAAAAATGTAAAAAAAGTAGAATATTAAATAACTTATTATAATGTTTTAACATAATAATAAGTGAATGGATGGATAAATTTATTATCTTAATCAACCTTCTTTCTCTTTTGTTTTTTTTTTTAATCCATCTAAACAAAATTCAATTTTTTGTTCTTTATCACTTATTTTCTTTCTTTCTATTTTTTCCTAAAGCAAAACATTAGACCGACTTATGAAACTAACAATCACTTAAAGTTAAGACACAATCTCTCTAAGGCTATTAATGCAAACACATCAATTGGATATTTTGACTCTCAATTTCTAATTCTACACTGTACAAACTTTTATTATGTTGGATAAATTACACGTTAGACTCAAATAACTTTTTGAAAAAGCACTGTTAAATAGGTTTAATTAAGTTTCTTTTTGTTTGTCTTTAAAATCATTAATAATAATTATTTTAGTTTTAAATTTTACAGTCTCCTTTATTAATATAATTTTATTTTATATATTAAATATAAATATTGAATCTTAACTGAAAATATTTTTAAAAATTATTGACAAAACTCATCCTCTAAGTATTTAAAGAATTTAAACTCAAAATCATATATTAAGTTGAAGCAATTCTTTATTAGTTAATTCACATGATCGGTAGTATTTAATTTTATTTATTATCATAAAATATTTATTTTTAAATGTTATTAAAATAATAATAAAGTTAAATTGAACATGTAATATAAATAAATTTTTATTTAAATTTTAAAAAATATATTTATTTAACAATACTCATATATTGCATATATAGAGAATTAACTAATATTCTTACATAATGGATTTATGAATTTGACGTTACACTAAGACCAAATTCAGCAAATATACTGTAGCCAAATCTTTAAACTCTGCCTTTGTCAAATATTTGCATTAAAACACGAATATGAAGCATTGCATAAAAGGAAATGGCAAACAAGTAAATAATATTGGAATAGCCGAAAAGGGGGGAAAATGACCTCAACGATTAATGATATCAACACCAGCTTTACTGGCAAAACAAAATGCTACATAATTAAATACCATTGGAAAACCCGAAAAGGCAAAGGTCAAATAAAGGTGTGACAAAGATAAGTTTTTTTTTAACGTGAAATTGTGAATCATAGGATTTTGACCGTATAAATTAAAAATTTCTTAAAATAATGTATTTTTGCGTGTTAATCTTGATATTTATAATAAAATTAATGAAAAATGTCTATATGAAGGTATAAACAAGTTAGGTTGAATCGAATATTCGCATTTTTTAATGATTGCTGAAATTTATCTTATTCATTCAATTAAATTAAGTTTAAACTTTGCTTTCAAATCATTAAAATACAATTGAAAATTAGACTTAACTTGTTTATGACAACTTTTTTTTATTTATTTATTATTCACATTAAAATTTAGTTTTTAATTGAACTTAACAGTATTATATAATTCATACAACCAATCTCGTTTAGTAAGATAAAACCTTTATTATTATTATTGTTGTTATTATTATTATTATTATTATTATTATTATATTCACATTGTTAAATTAATAATATTATAATAATGATTTGTTTAAGTAGTATAAATTTTAAATTTTTTATATAGTAATAATTATTTTTTATAAAAGATATATGTAGTTTACACTACAAAAAATAAAACTTAATTATGATTATAAATAAAATAATAATAATAACATATAATTTATATGCGTATAATAATTTAAAATCTTTAGTAATGAAAGTTAGTAGATGTTTCTATAAAAATCTTTTTAATAAGCAAAAGAAGTAATAAAAAGATATTGATCAATACAAAAAAAAACTCTAAGGAAAGTTTATGTTGAATAATTTAAAATATTATTTTTAAAAATTAACAGTAGGTAAATAATAGTAATAAATATTTAAAATAAATATATTAAGTAAAATTACAAATATTTCAGTAATACATCAATTTATTAGTTATCAATATTAAGTTTATAAATTTTAATTTTTTTCTTATTTAAATAGTTGGTATTAATTTTATATTTAATTCTATTTATTTAGTTAAAAATTAAATTTACTTAAATATTCCATGAATGAAATTTCAATTACGCACATATATGTATGTATATGTATTGAGAGCATAAAAAGAGTTATGATTAGCTATACTTATACGTGACTAGTAAACAATGTCTAAATTAAATATATTTTAAATATTTTTTAAATAAGTTTTCTAACTTTTTTTAGAATTCAATTTAAACATTTTAAATTAGTAAAATATTTATTATATTGCATATAAAAAGTATAATAAATATTTTTAATAAAAAATAATTTCAAATACATACCCTGAAGAGTAATAATAATAATAATATTATATTTTAATTACACGATTTAAATTCTTTTTTTACTATTGATTTCACTTAGTACAATTATAAATATGTGCATAGGTGCAGGTAAAATACTTATTTACTTTTATCTTTTTAATTAAAATTATTTAGATGAAATACGACTCAATCTTTTCACCAAAAAATATATTTCATATATTAAAAAAAGCACATGATATTCCTACAGAAGCTTTTTACCACAATTCATATAAAACTAGAAAAAAAATTTAAAAGTATATCATTATTTATCTTATTAATTAAAATATATATTATAAATTATGAATTACTTTTATTTTTTATAATTTTATATAAGTTGAAAATATTACCTCTAGTCTTATTATAAGAAATAATTATCAATATTTTAGAATTATAAAAAATAAAAAATAGATGCATTTACTAGATATATTACTTGTTAAATTACATTTATACTACTATTTATTGTGAAATTTGTTTTAATAAAACAACACTTACTGCTATATATATAACTAAATAATTTGTTCATTTAATATATAAATATTCAGTTAATAATTTAATATTACAAATATTTTTGAAACAAAGTATATATTTATGACATATAGTAGTTAATTTTGAAGAATTATGTATTTACTTTTTATAAATAAAATTAAAAGCGGTAACTTTTATAATAATATTTTTTAAAAATAAATATGTTATTAACAAAGTTTTAGTTGAATAACAAGGATAATTTTCCTACTTTGTTATGTGAAAAAAAAAAAGTGTTTTACATAAAAATTATATAAACAAAAATAATAATAGATATTTAGAAATGACGATAAATACATTCCTAAAATAAATAACCATAGTTCATGGCACCGTCTTTCCTTTAATTTTTTTAAATAATAATGAGTTTTTAATAGTCAATCAGATCCCTTTATATTCCTTTCCCCTGACAGGTAAGTGAACTCGAAACATAACAAAAATTTATATAAAAAATTACATAATATGATACATTAATAAAATTATATATTATATTTTTTTATTATGTAGCTTACGGCTTAGACACATAAAAAATGGTTAGTTAAATAGTCCCACCCATTCTGCTTGATACTTGATTTTCGTTCTTTTCTTTGTTCTCTCCTTTAGTTCTCTCCTGCTTTTCACGACAGGTTAATGTTGGGAAAACTAAACACAAGAACACAATTATCTAAAGTGAGCAGCGGAAACAATTTCCCAAACTTGTAAGAACCTGTGAAGAGCAATAACAATAACAAATGGCAGCAATAAACACAAGGACACAGAGAATTACTTACGTGGGAAAATTCTCTCAATGTGAGAAGTAAAAACCCACGGGCTCAAGCCAGTCAATCAAGCTCCACTATAATCAAATGAGGTTACAAGAGAGTCTCAAAATACTGCACAAATTCGTGCAAACAACCAGCTAATACAACCAAGCAATAAAGCCTAACAAAAGAGAGAAAATCTCACAAAACAGAGCTGCTGTTCATACACGATTTCTCTCAGCCAAAACCTCTAATCGACGATCCCAGCGGTCAGAATGAATAACTATACGTCTGGGAACTTCTGTCAAAGTTTCAGCTCAATCCAACGGTTGAATAAGGAGAAATAACGATTTCTATGAGGCTGGTCTGTGCAGAGTCACAAAAAACAGAACTTCTGTGTGAAGACAATATCTCTAACTTCAGACCTTCAATCGACAATCCGAACGGTCAGAACAAAGAGCACCACGTTATGAATCTGCTTCAAAATTTTCAGCCCGATCCAACGGTGAACTAATTGGATATCATAGAAATGGAGTAGCTGGTCTGGAGCTTCTTCCTTCCCTCACTTCCCTTTTCTCTTTTGATGTCTCTCTCTCCCAAATACACCATGGACTGGATGCAAAGAAAAAAAAACTTTCAATTTTGTCTTCTCTCACCCACTCTTCTGACTTCTCACTCCCCTCAATTATGTGAAAAAATTGTGCTTAAAATTTGGACTTTTGGACACATAGTTAGGAGTCCAACCCTACAGTTAAAAAGTTAATTCAACTTTCTATTTGTTTTTTACTTTGACATCGCCATGGCCTGCTTAAAGGAGTGCAAAGAGGTAAGTATATATATATATACACATATATGGCTTGTCATATACAAGCATGTAGTATATGTATATGTTTAGTCCTTAATTCTCAATAAACCAGAGATCTTTATGTCTTTTCTCCCGTAATCTAGAACCAGTTATACTTCCTAACCCTTATTCTCTTTCCCAATGTAATCCTTTAGTAGTCGCAGCCAAGTGCATTTTTTAGGTCATTCTCTTCAGCTTTAATGATTAGGAAAAATATAAATTAATACTCTAAAATTCAGATATTTACAAGACAGACTCTTCATTGATAGAAATCAAATAACTCGTGTTAGTCACGATGGATTATATTAACTTTTCCACAAAAAAAGTTGACGGAGGATATCTTACACACTTTGGAAATACTAAATTGAAATAAAAATAAATAAAGATCAACAATTAAACCAGACATCACCTAAATCTTATGATGCTAATTTATACTTACCCCATTAATCAACACACGTGTTTCAATTATGAATATGTTAGTTTGGTAGTATTGTGTTTTTACAAGTACTAGTTGTTGCCATTTCTTTTGGTATGTTTAATTTATATTTCTTTAATAACAAACAGCCTTTTGTGTATACACCGAAAAAGATATAACAAAAAAGAAAAAAATGCGACAAGTGATGTAATATAAAATAAAATAAACAAATGAAAAGTGTTAAATAATAGTATTTTTAATGTATATTCAATGACATATAATAAAAACCTATATATATATAATTTTTTTTATTAAAAATCACATAATGATATAATATTCAATGCATTAATAACATGCTATTTATTAATATTTTATTATATATTCTTAGATAAATATTGAAAATAATAATAATAAAATTATTTATAAATCAAAATTGATGTTGAAAATTTTAGGGAAAATTGGAAGGAGATCCAGAGGAGTTCACTCTTGATGGGAGTGTTGATTGGCATTGCTGCCCCGCAATCATAGCCAAATCTGGGACGTGGGTTGCTGGAAACATCATACTTTGTAAGTTCCAATTCTAAATATATACAACGTGGCAAGAAAGTTCAACAACATATTCTTTAATATAATTTTTTAAATATATTATTAATTATTAATTAAAATTAAAAAATTAAATACTAATATAATATTTTTAAAATTATAAAGACTAAAATATTTTATATTTATCATCTTCGGAACACTATTAATATATACTAACAGAATATCGATATGTTATGTTAAATGATATATATGATCAATTGTGTAATAATAAAATAACATTGTAATATGTAATATATATTTTTATTTTATTTTAGTTTTTATTATATAAAAAAATTTAGTCTATATTTCTTAAAATCATTTATTTATTGATTTTTTTCTTCTTTGTTCTTCCTTTCGATCTATGTCGCATTCTTTGTCAATGATTTCACCGCTGCTAATTATTTGTATTCTTCCTCTTGTGACCACCCTTTTTTGTATCATTGTGAATGCGTAAGAGTTATTGGAACAAGACTTAGATGACGACTTTGTTATCCCTTTAGTTGCTTATTTGGTTGACACCCATATCCTTAGTGTCAAGCCCAAAGTTGTTAAACAAACTTTCAAGGAAAATAACTTTGTCAATGTCAAAGCAATAATTGTGATTTTAAAGAAATAATTCTCTTCTCTCAAGTTAGTTGATTTAGCACTTGATGAACACAATTTTAAAGCTTCAAACAATTTGGTTGAGTAGTTTTTTAAGGAATTCAACAACAATTGGGTCCTAACTTTCAAAATTTTCAAATGGACAAAAGTTCAAATTTTGACAAGGTCCAAAAAGGAGAATGAAGGAACATGAGTTTATCCATGATGTTTACTCATGTAACATAACCCAAAAACTTTGACATAATTCCTTAAATTTTGTAATTTTTAAATAAAAATTACTATATATAAATTTTTATCATGTTGTACAAATTAAAATAATCATTTTAGTAAATATAATGAAATTAATACAAAAAATTATATTTTATATCACTATATCATAGTTTCATTTTGTTTATATTTGAGTTTGGAAGGAGTATGCTTATACACAAGTCAAAAAGAATTTTGTTTAGCTGAGCCCATAAGACTAAGTTTAAAAGTTAAAAAAAATAGTAAGCTTTTTACTAAAAAGAAATGCATTTACTGTGTTAAAGTAATTAATTTTTTTTGTTTAATAAAATATTACTACTATAATTTGCTTAAACTCAATTTTAAAAATTGTAATTAATATATATTTTAATAAAATATTTTATTTATTTTTTGGACAAAGTTAATATTTTATCCTCCAATTTTAAGATAGATTGTGATGTTGTATTGTTTGTGCATGTGTACTTTTCTTTTTCTTTTTTTGTATGTATATTGTTTATGCATCGCTTATCTTATTTTTAAAATATCTAATTTTAACTTTTTCTCTCATCTCTTCATCTTTTTTTGTCTCTTTCATCATCTTCTTCTTATTCCTTTTTTTTTTTCTTTTTTTTTTCCTCTTCAAAACCACACATAATGGGGATAATGTTGTTGTCACTTAGAGAGAGAAAGATGCCTTCTTGACCTTGTTGGCAACAATGGATGTGAGGAATTGGTAATACATTAACAAGGTTGGCAAGTTGTAACTTGGAGAGTTAAAGTGGTTGGAGATTGAGTTAGGAACATAATTCAAAGGCTTCTTAAAGGAGGTGCGACAAGTAGTTGACAAAGATCTAAGTAAGCAAAGGACAAGCGGAAGCAACATCATCATCCCATTATGTGGGGTTTTGTAAAGGAATAATAAGGAAAGAGAAGAAAGAAGAAAATAGATAAAAATGGAAAAAAAAAAAAAGAACATGAAAGAGAGAAAGAAGATATGGAAGAGATAACTAAAATTAGATATCCAAGGAAAAAAAAAATTCACATGACAAATTTTTTTTTTAATCGAGTTAACATTTTTAATCGAAAAGACCTATTTGAAACATTTTTAAAGGTTAAAAGACTGAAATAAATTTGAAAGATAAAATGGAAACTTATCTTAAAGTTGGAGAACAAAAAACACTAATTTTATCTAATTTTTTATTATTTTGAAAACATATTAATTTTACAAGAAGCAATTTTTTTTTGCTATGATGTTACAAAAATTGAAGTGCATTAATAAACAAGCATTAAAATAATGGTAAAGATAACATACATCATGTCTAAAATGGTGCACAAGTAGGACATTAAATTCTAAAAATTTTAAATTGTCTTTGGTAGTCCTTAGCATTTTTCTTTGTTAGTTAATTTAGTCCTTAAAGTCATATATTATTAAGATATCATAACAAAATGTTGAGATGTCATGTTAAATGGCATGTATGTAATTGTGTGATAAAAATATCAATTTTTTTAATTTTATTTTAGTCTTTAAGATTGTTAGCATTAAACATTTTAATCCTAAATTCTTAAAACATTTTTTCTATCCATCATTTTTCTTCTTCGCCCTTCCTTAACACCATCATCGAAACCACCATAACACACTGTCTTTATTAGATCTTCTCAAACTTTTTTGTCTTCACCATCAAATTCACCTTTACAATTTGCTTTAGGTAGTCACACTAACTTCAACTTCACAAGAATAAGAAATTGATTGGGAAGACATACCATTATAGTTTTTTTTGGTAGATTGAGTTAAGAACAACAATCTAAAAATCCTTTGATGGTGGTAGAGGGTAAGGACCTAAGATGCAACGAAAAAGAACAAGAAAAGATAGTGCCTTGTTAACAAGAGAGCTAAGGTTAAGAGAAAAACAAATAACAAAGAAGTTATGAAGGAGAAGGTTTTTTAGTTGTAAAAGAATTTTTTTGATGTTGGGTTGGCCAAAGGAAGAAGAAGATATTGGTAAACAACGAAAAATGATATTACAGTAGTTTTTAATACGGTGATTTGGAACAATGGTGATTTTTTATATTAGTAGTAACAAATAATGGTTTCTAGCGATAGTTTTTTACAGTAATAATGTTAAGGAAGAATAATAAAAAAAAAGAATGATAAGTAAATAAAATGTTTCAAAAATTAATGAATAAAATGTCTAAATTAATAATTTCATAAACTAAAATGAAATAGAATTTATATATTACCATGTATATGATGTCATTTTTGCAATACAATCAATCATACACATTACTTAAATATTTTGTTATTATATCTTAACGATTTATAACTTTAAAAACTAAATTGATTAAAAAAATATATTGTAGACTATGAAAAATATTTTAAAATTTGAAAACTAAAATATGTTTGACACTGGTATATTTCACAATTAAACAAAGAGTTTAATCATCATTTTATTTGCATTTTTTAATGAGAACACCATTCATTATTTATGGTTTTACACGGCTTAGGTATTAAAAATTTAAAAATAGTATATCTTTTTATAAAAAAATATTACATTAAAATATTAAAGTATAATAAATATTTTATTTTTTTTAATAAAATCATTTTATTAATTTTGTTAATTTTCATTTTAAAGTTATATTTAAAAATTTAAAATTATTAGTTTTTTATTAAAAAAATATATTTATTATAATTTATTATATTTTTTTAATAAAAATTACATGTTCAAACTTAATTTTTAAAATCGAGATTAATACAATTATTTATATTTATATTTATTAAATGTTTACTTTTTATCAATTTATACGGCACTCCCCACTAAAGGAAAAGACAATTCTGTTTCATAATACATCCTTCTACACACACAGACACACATTATTTTTATGGTGAACTATGAAGGCCTTCTAAGGCGCTTCTAGGTACTTACTATACTGTTGTGGTGCAATGTGCGTAGTAATAGTTACTTATACTTTGTTTTTGGTCCATAAATAATTCCTGATACTTAATCATGCACATTGAGGTATTGTTTGTGTGACAAAGAAACCAAAAATCCTCTCTCCTGCTAGCACTGGAAATTCTTCTCAAGATAATGAACTTTTCATTGAACAAGTTCGATCAAGGTTACTGTTAGACCCGGTAATTTATGGTGGTGGTACATAATGCTTAATTAATAGTGACAATGCAGTAATTTCAGGGAAGTTCTGATGGAGTTTTCATCATTGAACCATTGATCAGTGACTAATCCATCTTAAAACAACTGCGCACATGCAGAAATGACAAGAACACCACCTACCCTTTACGAAATTATTAATCCTAATTGTTTAAGCTATGCAAATTACACATACACACACTGCCTCTGTAACTCACGCATTAACTACAAAATGAAAGACTTATTTTGTGGTCGTATGAATCAGGGAACCAAGGTCTGGCAACTTTAGCATTCTTTGGAATTGGGGTGAACCTAGTGCTCTTCCTTGCAAGAGTGATGGGACAAGATAATGCCGATGCTGCTAACAATGTAAGCAGTTGGATTGGCACAGCTTACCTCTTCTCTCTTGTGGGCGCTTTCCTTAGTGATTCTTATTGGGGAAGATACAAAACTTGTGCCATCTTCCAGACCATCTTTGTAATAGTATGTATAATATAATATTCTTTCAATTTCATATTTCCTCTTTAAATTTCTAGCTAGCACATTCGTTGAATAATAAACGAATCTTCTGGTTTGATATAACAGGGTCTTGTATCCTTGTCGCTTTTATTAGATCTCTTCTTGATTGCACCTAAAGGTTGTGGGAATGAATCAATTCCATGCGGGAAACATTCAATCTTGGAAATGGGGATATTCTATCTCTCAATCTATCTTATTGCCTTAGGGAATGGAGGGTATCAGCCAATTATTGCAACATTTGGTGCAGACCAGTTTGATGAAGAGCACTCAAAGGAGGGTTACTCAAAAGTGGCCTTCTTTAGCTACTTCAACCTGGCTTTCAACCTTGGTCAACTCTTTTCAAACACTATTCTGGTCTATGTTGAAGATAAAGGAAAGTGGGCACTTGGGTTCTGGGTGTCTGCAGGCTCAGCCTTTGCTGCCCTTATCTTATTCCTAGTTGGGACCCCCAGGTATAGACACTTCAAACCCAGTGGGAGTCCTCTTTCAAGAATCTGCCAAGTCCTTGTTGCTGCATTATGGAAATGGAGAGCTGAAATGCCATCTCACAGAGGGGACTTATATCTCATGGATGAAAATGAATCTTCCACCAATGGCAACAGGAAGGTTCTCAAAACCCAGGGGTTCAAGTAAGAAGTAAAAGCTAATTTAGATTGAAACTACATAATCAAAAACTTTCAATACCATGAGCATTTGATGCGTATACTATGAGAAATGCTAATAATACACTCTTCAACATATTGTTTTAAAAGTCAAATCGCTTACCTGTTAAATTGATTGCTTTTCAAAAATTACTTCATAATAGGTGTGTTGAAGAATGTGTTTAAAAATAATACGTTGCTAGCATTCCCCTTTACTGTATTTATATAACAATGTAGTCATTTTGCTAAAACCATGGCATGACTTACAGATTAGACACCACAATTTTCAGTATAGTCGATCATTCTGCTTTCTTCTCAGTTATGAGGCAATTTGATGAATTTTCTTTTTGTCATATGCATTGCAGGTTTTTGGATAAGGCAGCATTTATATCTTCTAGAGATCTAGAGGACCAGGAATTAGGCCACTATAACCCCTGGCATATCTGCCCTATAACTCAAGTTGAAGAAGTGAAGTGTGTACTGAGACTTCTCCCAATTTGGCTCTGCACCATAATGTACTCAATGGTGTATGCACAATCAGCTTCCATTTTTGTGGAGCAAGGTGCTGCCATGAAAACTAGATTTTCCCATTTCAGAATACCACCAGCTAGCATGTCTAGTTTTGATATCTTCAGCGTAGCTATCTTCATTTTCTTATACCGTCGAGTGCTTAATCCACTAACCGAGCTTGAAAGAATGGGAATAGGGCTTGTCACAGCTGTGATGGCAATGGTTTCAGCAGGAATAGTTGAATGCTATAGGCTCAAGTATGCAAAACCAGGATGCTCCCTCTGCAGTGGCACAAGTTCTCTAAGCATCTTATGGCAAATTCCTCAGTATGCACTTGTAGGAGCTTCCGAGGTTTTTATGTATGTTGGCCAGTTAGAGTTTTTCAATGCTCAAATACCAGGTAGCTTAAAAAGCTTTGGAAGTGCACTTTGCATGGCATCAATCTCCCTTGGAAACTATTTGAGCACCTTACTTGTTAGTTTGGTTATGAAGATCTCCACTAAGGATCACATGCCAGGGTGGATCCCTGGAAACCTTAATAAAGGTCACTTAGATAGGCTATACTTCCTCTTAGCTTGTTTGACAGCAATAGACTTGACCATTTATATTGCTTGTGCAAAGTGGTTCAAAAGTATACAACATACACAAGAGAAGGATGAGCCTTAATGGCAATGGACAACAATCACAGGCAATGGTAACAACATACATACTTACACAAGATAAAGAAGGGAGCACTCAGAGAAACCCTTGTTACTTCAGCATGTTATAATTGTAGTCACACTAATTGTTTCACCTTAAGCTTTTAGCTCTTATTCTTGAATTTTGTAAGCGGATAACTAAAATTTTGATGGGACCATTATAGTTTCAGAGTCACATTAAGCTTCCATTCTTTCGTGATTGTTTGTTAACTAAGAAAATGTCATTTTGATTTCTATATTTGAAAGGGCCTGCTCTGCTCTAACTTTCAACTTATTAAATTTGGCTACTTTTGCTATGCTTGTAGCACTTGTATCGTCTTTCAATTCTTCTAACTCATCGTCCAAATTCCAATGTTTTTCTCCTTATCTTATAGCAAATTGCATCTATTACTGCATAGTTTAATTTTTTCAATTTTGTCTAAATAAACAAACTACTTTCCTATCATCTTAGTTTTCTGGTCCTTCAGAAGAGGAATTCTAAGATGCACCTTTATGGTAAACTTATTTATATCCTGTGTATATTTTTATTGACTGGTAGTAAAAAATTATCATTATCAATGCCAAAATTTAAACTCAATAAAAAATTGATTATTAATTTTGTAAAAATTGAATAACTATTAACTCTCATGAAAGTAAAATTATCACGTTTCACTTTATTTTTATTCTATTACTAGAGGTAAGAAAGTTATTTTTTTAATTATTTAATTATTAAGATTTAAATCATGCTTCTGAACATAATATTTTTTTATGAAATAATTTTATTTTTTTCATTTTAGTCCAACAAAAAACTTTTAATTAGTAAATAAAATATTAAATTATTTTTATAGTTGCAAGATAATAAATTTATTCTTTTTATTTAATATTTATTTTATGAAATAATAAATTATTATTTAAAAAAATAGGAAGAACTTCGAAAATGTTTCCCTTATTTCCCTGAACAGTGAATTTGGTTCTCAAATTTCCTTCAGCCTCCCTATACTCCTCACTCGTGGGTTCTGATCTCGTTCCGTCGCGTCAACATTTCAATTATTTATCTGTTCGAGGGGAGTTTAAATCACGTCTTTTGTTTTTGTTGCAGAGCAGAGACCTCCAATTTAGCTGCCCTCACTCTTAGATTGATTTCGTGATTTGCATTAACATTGCTTAAACTTCGGCGACTGATTCCTTCTGTATTTTGATATCCTCATGCTGAAATGGTTTTCGTGGAGTTATGTGTGTTGGTCTCTGATAGCAATAGGATTGTATTGCTTTGTTGCCTATTACTTGCTTGACAATGTGCTTATTGTTGGAAAATTTTAATGGAGAACACTCTCAACTAATAAAAGAAAATGATGGCAAATAATAAAATAAACACAATGAACTTATCAGTCTTTGCTGAGGCGTGCAAACTGGGCTTAAGAGTATTTTGCTTTGCTCTTAATGATAAATCAGTCACTTCTTATATGGGGCAATTCTTCATTGGATTGTTAAGCAAACCTTCTATTTATTGATTGTTAATCCTTCTGATTTATCTTCTTATATGGGCAATTCTTCTTTGGATTCTAAATAGAGAAGGAAATGGTCTCCATTGCATAATGTGCGCCTTTGCTACTTGGTCTGATAATCTTAATGAAAATATGAATTATTTGCTTTGGTAGGAAAATAAGGCACGGGATGTCAATTCTATTTCAGCCATTGATTACAAAGACACAGGAATCCTGGCACCCTAAGTGCTTTTTTAACTTAAAAATTCTAAGTTGGTGGTTTATGTTATCTTATTTTTAGGTGATCCATGTACGACACTTGAAATATATTGACCTACAATATATGTTGCTGGTCAATACTGTTTTTTATTTAAGTGGTTTTTAACAGAACTCTTTTTGTCCACATTACAACAGCCTTTACATTAGGTCTGCCACTGCCAGTTAGGATTTTATTTGGTAATTGAATATCTGTGTAAGCAATCACACCTATGCTGTCACTCTGCTAAATTAGAATGTATAAGAAATCCCTTGGTGCCTTAGTGGATTGTCCATGATAGCAATGTTTGTCCATGTTCCACTTCCAGGCATCAATGACAGGAACATTTGTGTTAGCTTTGGGAGGGAAGGCATAGTTGGTAAGATCTGTAAATAGTTGGAAATAGGAACAAACCATTTCACACTTGGCATTCAAAATGACATATTCATTGTTAGCAATGGAACATACATAACATGAAAGAAGGGAAACTTAAAGTGACCCTGAAACTGTCATTGTCTCTTCAAAAAGTTTAGTTTTACACAACTGAAATTCAAGAACATAAACTGAAAATATTAAGGTCTCTTTGGTTTGTGATTGTGAAAACATTTGCCGATTTATTTTCAGTTTTCATATATAATTAGAAAAATGTCACTTATTTTCACTTTATTTTCTAATTTCAAAATTATGTACAAGAAATGGTGAAAAACAACATTTTTTTTTTTGTTTTTTAACCATTTTTTATACAAATTTTTGAAACCAGAATATAAATTGAAAATAAGATGACACTTTAGTAATTATATGCAAAAACAAAAAATAAAAACAAAATGTTTTTTCTAACCAAATAGACCAATAGTTAGGTGTAACAAAAACATTGCATACAGTTATAAGAGACTCAGGTAAAGGGCTTCTCTTACTGCAAACCTGCCATTGTTTCTTCCAATAGCAGCTATAGCTCAAGTTATTTTGACTAGTTGGTCCCTTCTTTCTCTTATTTATATATGCTGTAACCATAGCCGTTGATTGTTGTACATTGCAATTAGACTTTGTAGCTACCAGGCTTATCATTCTCTTCATATTTCCCTTCCAGCTGTATACTCTTGAACCACTTTGCACATACAATATAAGCCACCAGGTCTATTGATGTCAAAGCAGCTAAGAGGAAGTAAAACCTATCTAGATGACCTCTGTTTAGGTTTCCAGGGATCCACCCTGGCATGTGATCCTCAGTGGAGATCTTCATAACTATACTAACAAGTAAGCTACTTACGTAGTTTCCAAGGGAGATTGATGTCATGCAAAGGGCACTTCCAAAGCTCTTTAAGCCATCTGGTGTCTGAGCATTAAAGAACTCTAACTGACCTACATACATAAAAACCTCTGAAGCTCCTATAAGTGCGTACTGAGGAATTTGCCAAAAGATGCTTAGAGTGCTGGAGCCACTGCAGTGGGGGCACCCTTGTTTTGCATACTTCAGCCTATAGCATTCAACTATTCCAGCTGAAACCATTGCCATTACAGCTATAACAAGCCCAATTCCCATTCTCTGAAGCTCAGTAAGTCCCCTGGAGCTTGTCTTTTTAAGCTTTCCTACAAGTGGATCAAGCACTCGACGGTAGAAGAAAATGAATATAGCTACACTGAGGATGTCAAAACTAGACATGCTAGCCGGTGGTATTCTGAAATGGGAAATTGTAGTTTTCATGGCAGCCCCTTGCTCCACAAAAAGAGATGCCATTTGTGTGAAACCCACTGAGTATAGTATAGTGCAGAGCCAAATTGGAAGAAGTCTTAATATGCACTTCACTTCTTCTACTTGAGTTATAGGGCAGAGACGCCAGGGGTTATAAAGGCCTCCTTTATGGTCCTCTAGATCTGTGGAAGACATAAATGCTGCCCTATCCAAAAACCTGTAATGGAGATAACAAATGGTAAATTGATCAAATCGTTATAGTTCAGTTGAATGAAGAATTGTGTATCATTTGTAGGTCGTGCCATGGTCTTAGCAAAATGATCAATTAATGCATAAATGAAGTAAAAGCATTCATGCAACCTCTGAGCTATAAGGTATAAACGTCAACTATTTTTCAAAAGCTTTCAACTACGTGGTTTCAGCTGAAATTAGCTTCTACTACTTACTTGAACCCGTCGGTGTGGAGAATCCTTCTGTTGCCATTGGTGGAAGATTCATTTTCATCCATGACATACAAGTCCTCTTCATTTGATGCCATTTGAACTGTCCATTTCCTTGATGCAGCAACAAGGACTTGGCAGAACCTTGAAAGAGGATTGCCACTGGGTTTAAAGTGTCTATATCTGGGGGTCCCAACTAAAAATAAGACGAGGGCGGCAAAGGCAGAGCCTGCAGATGCCCAGAACCCAAGGGCCCAGATCCCTTCATCTTCAAAATAGCCCAGAATGGTGTTTGAGAAGAGTGAACCAAGGTTCAATGCCAGGTAGAAGTAGCTAAAGAAGGCCACCTTTGAGTAACCCTCCTTTGAGTGCTCCTCATCAAATTGATCAGCTCCAAATGTGGCAATATTTGGTTGATACCCACCATTCCCCAAGGCAATGAGATAGATTGAGAGGTAGAACATCCCCATTTCCAAGCTTGAGTGTTTACCGCATTGAATTGATTCATTCCCACAACCTTTTGGTCTAATCAAGGAGATGTACGACGAAAGGGACAAAGATACAAGACCCTGTTACATCAAACCAGAAGATTCGTTAATTACTCTAGGAATGTACTAGCTTGAAATTAAAAAGGAAGAATAAGGAACAGAGAAGGAAAGAGAACGAAAGGGAAATGAAATTGAGAGAATATACTTACTATTACAAAGATGACCTGAAATATGGCACAAGTTTTGTATCTTCCCCAATAAGAATCACTGAGGAAAGCACCCACTAGAGAGAAGATGTAAACTGTGCCAGTCCATTTGCTCACACTGTTTGCAGCATCGGCATTATCTTGTCCCATCACTCTTGTCAGGAAGAGCACTAGGTTCACCCCAATTCCAAAGAATGCTAGAGTTGCCAGACCTTGGTTCACTGATTGACCCAATCAATAAAATTGTAGTGTTAGCATATAACGTTATGAGTATTGCAGACAGCGTGAGCATGCATCATGGTGTCTATGCATTCATAATGTAGCTTGTTTACGCATGCATTTAGTTACATATTTGCAAAGACTTTCAAATGGTTGCGAATTAAGCTAAGAAAATTACAAGTTTTAATCTGTGATAATTAATACGTAACCAACTGACGTGGTACAAGAGTATGTGTTGGTTATAATAGAAAAAAATTTGATATATAAATATGCATGGCTAAATCAACCAGGTATTACTAATATCTCGGAAAGGGTAGTGGATCTTGTCACTTCTGCATGTGCGTCTGTGTCTTTCAAATACTAGCTGGAGGGAATTTTTTATTTTTTATTTTACACTCAAACAAGTACTTCGATTTGCATGATTGAAATATACGGTTATTATCGTAAAAAAAAGTATATGGAGTTATTTGAAAGCCTATAAAGGACTTCCCTAGCAAACCAAGATCATAATATTTATAAAAGGAGATATAATATGCATAATTTGAAATAAATTATTTCTACATTACCAATTATATTTTACCGTAGTCATAAATAGAGAGTATCGATATATTAGAATTTGTTTATGTTTTTTTGTTTACAGAATTTGTTTATGTTGGATCCCCTTACCCCCGTCCCTCTATAATCGAAAAGAAAAAGATATTTTATCTCAGCATGTATTTTTCAATCTAAAAATCAATTTTAGATTTCAGTTTATGGGTATGTACATGCACGCACGTTACTTGTTTGGGCTCTTCTCTGCACACACGAAAAGTTTCAGAACTAACCAAATTACAATGATTCTACCCATGTATCAAGTGAGATGGTCCCCTTTATTTGCGTTAGGTTTATCATAAATAATCAAAATCAAATCTATAAGTTAAGTGAATATTTTATAAAATTACATAATTTTAAAAAATTAATTTACATATAATTATGCAGTTCAAATTTACTTATTTGAAAGTAACTCTTTGACTACGTATATATAATATATTTGTGTATGTGTGCATATCATTGAAACTACAAGTACATGTAGAGCTAATTTTGTTTTTTCTTTTCACAGGTAAAACTTGAACTCAAAGGTTTACCGAAAGAAAATCAAATATGAATTGCTTAAATTTAACCACGCCTTATATTCCAATACTTATCCGATTTTGACCTACCAAATATTTATGAATTACTCCTTCCCTTTTATAATAATTATCTTTTAAATTTAAAAAAATTCACTTGTTACAGTATTTTCTTATTTTTTTTATACTCTTTCATTGTATTCAATAAAATATACAAACATTTTAAAATAATATATAAATGAAAATAGTTTAAAATATATATATATATATATATATATATATATATATATATAAACAATTATTTTAACAAACAAACAGCAATTGTTCTTGTGCTAGCTATCATCAACTCAGTTTGGACGTACCAAATAAAGAAATTAGTCTTGCTTGTACACTATGGTTAATAATCATGCATCTATTTTTTCATGACACGTGGCAAATACCCACGTCATGCAAGATCCTAGCATTGGTTACGTGTCAGGAACGCATTCCCCTAGAATGCATGCCAATTTCCTCATTCTCGCCCCCTTCCTGTGTCGTTTTATGAGGATTCAGAATCTCTATCTTCTCTCTCTCTCAACTTGACAAAGAACTACTTAGCCTATAACTCCAGAAACAGAAAGATATATAGTGCGGTGGAGTGGGAATCAGCCACAAAGGCCTTTGTCGTTTTCTACCATCTGAAACTGATAAGATGAATAAATTAAAAGCAAGTTTCACACTTCCTTCTATTCCTCTGATAAGCTATCTATCTAATATATATTCATCAAAATTTCAGCTTCTAAGCCCCCAAGAGCTGCCACAATCATCAACTATACGTAGACGTATCACACACACTCAATTAAGTTCAATAAGATCAATATTCAATTGATCTTTGAAGTGGCACTTTAATGTAATTACGATTGGCACTAAACAAATTGATTTCGCAAGGTATAGAAAAACATTAAGGGAAAGTTTATATAATATGGTGGTATACTTGCGATTGATAAAAGACGCGGGAATATTAAAGGCCTGGTTTATACACACACACACACATATATGCATGATTTAATTTTAATGCATTATCGTGTAACAAAAACAAAAACATTAAATAATAAACTATATTGATTTGGAACTTACATAGTATGATGGTTCCAGCAACCCATGTTCCAGATTTGGCTCTGATAGCGGGGCGGCCATGCCAATCAACACTGCCATCAAGAGTGAACTCTTCTTGATCATCTTTGAACTTTGTCTACAGAGTGATTTAAACATTTATAAGAAATGGCAGCATTTTAAGTATTTATATTATAACAATAACAATGAGACTTGAACATTTAATAATATATATTTAAACACTTGACCGATGAGGGCTATACAAATTGTAGGAGAACTTTGATATATGCATAACTAATTACCTCTTTGCAAACCTCTAAGCAAGCCATTGGTGATGTCAAATTCGAAGACAAAGAGGAAGTTAAATGAAGTTCTCAACCTGCTGTGGAATGCAGGTGAGAGGAATGAAGCAGAGGAAGGTGTTTGCTTGGGATGATGAAGGCCAAAAAGAAGAACGAAATTTACACATGATGCAGAGAGGGTGGGAGAATTCAATAAATAGAGGAAGGACCCTATGCATGAACGGTGGAGATTTCAGAGTGCAAAAGTGGGGACATCCCACGTGTCATACAAGTCCAAAAATATTTAAAATAAAGTATTTTTTATTTGATATGAGAACTTTTATATCAAAGTTGTTACGCATATCAAATTCCAAAAATAAAGTGGACACATACATCTCATGTATAATTTTTTAATTTATATGTTTTTTAAACACAACATATTCTGTAGCATTTTTCTTAAGCATAGAGTCCTTTGATGGTAATATATGCAGTCGAGACATCCCCCTAATATTTTTTTTTCTGATTTTTTTGTTTATATTATTGTGAACTTAATGAAGAGTATAATTATTATAATTAGTTTATCAAACTATTTAGAAAATAAATATATTTTGTAGAGAAGGTTTTATTTTATTGTAAGAAATGGTTATTTGAGAAATTAAAGAATAAGTACTATATGAAATTAAAACTCAATGCACTGAAGGACAGCCAACAATAAATGCAAAGAATTTTCTTTTGGACTGAAATATACGGCAGGTCGGTGTCATATTTAGTACCCACAAAAAAAACTTTTCAATTCTTTAAATTTTTTGTTGTATTTTCATTTTATTTTACTTTATCTTCAAACTAATAAGTATTCTGCAATTTATTCGTATAAATATTGATGTTTTTAATGTGAAAATTACTTATTATTTGTTAGTTTTTACAAAATATTTAACTTCACCTTCAAACTGATACTATTTTCCAAAAAAGTTTAAATTACTCGTTTTCTTTATAATTTCACCTCCAATTTAATATAGTTTGAAAAAAGATTTTGTAATTTTTCGCGATGTAAAACAATCCTTAATAATCGTGTGTATTTTCTAGTAAGAGGAGCAGAGCTATAGGAATATGTTGGAAAGGGATTGTATCCTTTACGTTGTTTGGAAATTTTATAGAGATTATTTTGTATCTTTTTAAAATTATAGATACTTTGTAAACATAAAATTACATTCCGAATAAGAAGATAAAAATCAAATGAATAGTTTAACCTTTGAAAATGAAAAAGATGAATACCGAAATAATTATTATCTTAATGAAAGCTATGAGAGCACTGGGTCCTCCTATGGTCGATCATTGGTTGCTAGTTCGATGCTGACAGTTTTCAAGCACTCTCTCAAATCCATTTTACCTATTCACAACACATTTTGGTTTGACAATTTAATCCCCCACTTAAATCACAAACTACAACATTAACAACTTGCATAAGCAGCTAATCCTTATCCTATCATGTAATACTTTAGTTTAGATATACTTTTCAATAAATATTTATATTTTGCTGAAAATTTTTTTATTTAATTTTTCTGAAATTTAAAAGTATTAAAAAACTCTCGTATAATATATAATTCTTGAAATTTTCTAATTCTCTTCGTCTTAGTTAGAAAATACCATAAGTACCTGAAGCAATTCCATCCATTGAATTTGATGGGATAGTTTCAAGGAGAAAGGAATAAAAATCTACTCGACAAGCATGCCATTGAAGGGAGCAGACAGCTAGAAAAATGCTCATTCACATGGGATTTAATTTGCACATGTTTGGTGACAGCAATTTGGTTCAAATATAACAATTATGCATGCATATCGTATTCACTTAATAGTTATTTTTTGCAATATTTAAAACACCACATTCTTATTAAACATAATCACTGAATAAAATTAAGATCGATATTAGTAAAGTAACTTAGTAAGTTCTTTTTCGTCTTTATAACTTTTTTATTTTAATGTGTCAGTTGTGTTAAACAGTTCTATACTACCAGCAAATTGTCTGATATAGTTAATAGATAATCATGTTTTTAAAATATATTAACAGGGATTTTACTCTTAATTATATGCATATGAACAAATAGAAATTATGACTTTAAACATGGTGGATGAGTGTACTACTAAATTTTTTTTACATACACAAGAACTTGAACTTGAGATTTTATTTAAATAATACTGAGTCATTACATTTAATTGTATTTTGGACATATGCAATTATTTAAACAGTTTTTGTTTTTATTATTAAACCACAAGGTAGGTTTGAATCGTATATAAAACTAATCCCCGTATCCTATCGTAATGGTACTATTTGAGGGAGTGACCATAAGAAGACGAATGTTATTCCTGGGAATAAACATAATCACTTTTGATTTGATGATTTTCTTATTATAGATTTTGCTGAATTATTATATTTGATATGATTCCGTTATTCCATTAACATATGCTCAATTCATTCCTCGACAAAAAGCAAGGCTTACAATTGTAACAATTCCAAAGTGTGTTCATTCCCTAGCCATTGGGAAACATTCATATTGAATGAATTGGCATTAAATATAACAGCATACGATCTTTAATGAATTTCTACATATACCTCGCAGACAACCAGCCAACTTGTTACGTACGCAATTAATTAATGGTATCAAAGAGTTTATCTATATATAGCCAAAATATATCTCATAAAACTCCTTTTGCAATAATTGCTTTGCTTTGCTTTTAAAACTATGATTCCCAGCCAATCACCTAAACAACAAGAGTTTGAAAAGTTTTGTGTACCAAAATAAACAGAGTTTGAAAAGAAAATCACTTCTCCAAATACATTTAACGTGCGTTTCAATGAATATTTGCATACACCAATTTTAATAATTCAAACGTGATTTTAAAAATAAATTCAATTTTAATAAAAAAATAAGTATTTTATAAAAACATTATATATATAAAAATAAATGTAATAATGTGACGTTTGAACTAGATCTAAAAAACAGGCATGAAACGAGTCCTTGAGTATTATTTGGTCTGGCTGCTATTACAAAATGTAGGAAACGATTGCATTCACTTCATTCAATAATGTGAGATGGGTTTGCAAATTATTATTAGCTGAATCTGTAACTGAATTTCCAACTACAATAACAAACTTTCAACAAATAACAGTAACTGATAACCGTTCATCTAACTCAGATTATATACATCAATTATGTGGCGGTGACATTATGAAAAATGGAATGTCCAGTACCTATTTTCACGTTATCACCAAAACATTAGAATAATTGTTATACATATGGTCTGTGGGTAAAGTTCAAAACATATATAAAAATAATAATTTCTTTCTATTTAAAAATAAATATAAAAAATTGTATAATTATATAAGAAATCTTTACATCTATTTCTTGCTATAAATAAATAAATAAATAAATACATATATATATATATATATATATATATATATGTATATTTTAACCAAACCCATGACCTGAGAAAGTGGGGTGTGAGCAAGGTTATTAATGGTAAGGGAAAGTTAATCTTAATCTTTATATAAAAAATTGAGGAGTGAATATATAAATTAATTAAGAAGTGAACAAAGATAAATAAATGAGAAAAAGGCACTTAATGGGGGTAGGCAGCTCTGCCTATTTTGCCTCCGGCTGGCTTAAAGGAGATTAATTTGTATAAGAAAAAATTATTTAACATATTTATTGTCTTTCACTTGAAAACATGATGAGCAACAGCCTTGTAATTTCCACAAACTTTTTAAATAGTTTTTAAAGCATTTATCGCTTCATTTAAAATTAAATTGTATTATTTATATTCGATCTATAAATAAAAAATTACTAGAGTTTTGTATTAAAAGAATGATAAGAGTTAAAAAAAACATAAAATTATAATTACCTAAACATATTTTTATTTATAAAATAAAATAAAATCACGTTGATATAAGAGAAGTTACTTTTACTTATTAAAAAAGGAGTAAATCTTAAAGATCCTCTCATGTTTATAATTTTTTGAATATGTTAATACTTATATTCCCAAAAGATTATCCTTTTCGTCAAGGTAGAAGTAATGAAGCTCATCTTTAAAAGTTTCTTTTAACCCACTTGTAAATACGTTCTAAATCAGTGCATCAACTCATAAAATACAAACTTACCAACCTAATTAGTATTTGAAGTTGTAGTACAATATGAACTAACAAAAATAAGTGGCGATCAATGAACCTACTTTTTAATTCGAACATTATATTATGTATAATAGAAAATAATGGAACCATGGTTAGGAGGACCAGGCTCCTGCTAGCTATATACTCCCCTCTTCACATCCTTTCCTAGGCTTGATTGATTTGAGGTCACAATGACTTTCTTTTTTACGTGTCAAAACAGGAACTTCATTGAGGCTAGCCACGAGAAACCTCACAGAACTTCAAAGAGAATGAAAATGATTTTTCCAATAGCTGTTTTCCAAGCAAAGAATGTTAGCTACAATGGCATGCATATTAGGTCAATGTGCAGTATGTATCAGCATCATGTACTACAGTGGTGAATCATGATATGATATAATTAATTAAGATATTCCCCGACCCCTCTTATGATCAATCTCCCCTATCCCACAAAGAAATGGAGAAAAGTGTGCATGTCATATTTGGCAGCCTATATATTCCTTATTTACTCCTCCTTTTCAAGTAACAGCATATGCTAAGCATCTTGGTAAAGTCCAATTGCAGCATATAAAATTATTTTTGTCACAAATATATTGATGCAATTCAACCTACACGAAGGCATTGGTTTTGTTACATTGGTAATTGAATTTCTACTGCTAGACATTTTAGACTCATTTCTTTCTAAGGAACTCTCCCACGTCTTATTCATAAACCATTTGTGCGTAAGATGTCAAATATACAAGTAAAAGAAGCTCGTTATAAAGAATACAACTGTGACGCACACGACCAAACAAAAATTCCAACATCCCCCTTTTGTCGCAGGTGGAAAATGATAGAGAAAGAAAGAACCCATAAAGCAAGATGTCTGTTAATATCACAATTTTGTGGGGTGCAATGCAAGTAAGGTCGTGACAAAAGAGTGATTATAAGTTAGGAAAAATGTAATGTAGGAATAACAAATCAATTTTAAGTTAAAGTCTCTTCACTATAGCCAGTGCATTTTTA